GAGAGGTTTCCATCCAGGAGAATTACCTTTAATTTGTCTCTATTACCCATAGCAGGGAACACACATTGCATCTGGAGAGTTTTACCAGGTTCTATACTATGGGCACTTAACATCTCTACACAATTTTTTGGAATCAAGGTCATGAACTACAACAGTTACTTCAAAATAAAACCGAGAGGAGTACTAGGTCAGAGTAAAGTGTCAATGTGAAGTCTCACCTGTTTTGTTCTTTTTTGATACAGTTTTCATAAAAGAAATTGTTACCAAAATATTACCAAACTCAGTGGGTTCAATGAGTTACCAGGCATCATTACATTAAAAATACAACTATTTGCTTCTGTATTTATGAAAATAAGCTTTTAAAATTCCAAGATCGCATAGCTGCATGCTAAACTACAGATGCTGGAAAGTATGTATACGAGACAAAATTTCAATTGTATGCACATACCTAGACCACTTTGTTTTTGTTCCAGAATAGTTCTTGGTGTTCTTAAGCTACTACTGGTTTCTGATAGGACCTGGATATAGAAAATAGAAAAATAAGGAAAAAGAGAATAGCAACATGTAGTGTCCATTAAACTTGATACATCAGCCTGTTCCAGACAGACAAGTGTTAATAAGCCATATGATATATGTTAGTAGAAATACATAAAAAGTATGAAAAATCATGCGATATCCCTTTCTGAAGGGAGTCCATTTCACATATGAGATCCTTGCAATGAGGGGGTGCAAAGCAGGCATTCAGAATGAAAAAGGACAGACCATGACAAAGATGAGAACATACACAGTTGAGACAGACTTATTTTATTTTACCAAATGCACTCTCCTAAACTGCGCCTGTATTGGAAAAGGAAGGGGAGGGAAGGAAAGACAGGCTATTGAGGACACCATACAGTCACTGATCCATGCACGGGCTCTATCATTGTAACCTTCAGAAGTTCACAGCTTTTACTGACGTATATATACTTTCTCCTATGCACAAGTTGCTTAAATTTCCAAAACCAAATGGAAATTGCTGAAACTCTTAGAAAAGAAAGGGGCATGATTAACAGAACACCATCCATTATCCTATACGCAAACAATATTTTGAATTATTAAGCAAACTTTAGACCTTCATTGATATTTGAACTAATAATAATTTTATATGAATCATTTGTCCTATTTTTCCCAATATTGGGGAGATGGGGGAATAAGACTTCAAAATATTGCAAAATTTAATGGATGAAGTACTGTTTTTATTTTTTTTAAATTAGCTACCTCCAGATACAGGAGTGAAGGCAAGAAAAATTAGTGCTAGAGTTTGTTTCCTGCACAGTTAATACCAGGCCACTGAAAATATGATATATGCCAAACAAATTTTGAACAGTAATATCAAACCCCAAATAAATTATTTTAATGGCATTGTTTGTCATTACTGAAAAGTGTTTTAAATTTACCTACCACCAAATTAAGCAATGCTGTTTTTAAAGTCTTAAAGGACAACTAAGCCAAAGCAAAAGTCTGTTTCATTCAGCAGTAAGCTATGCCTTTTCTACAGCGTTAATATTTATAATCTCTATGAAAAGAAACAAATTCATTCTGGAAATATCTAACATTCAGTGAAAAAAAAAACCATGCACTTGCTTTTTCCCCCCCCCAGACATTCTTGGAAGTAACTAGCATTTTAAAAGGTGGAAGAATTTACTTTGAATGTAATCCATGATAAAGGGATTAGATGTCCTTAAAGACAGTTGGTTGTTGCTTGGAATGCATAATAATGTTTAATGAAGTAAAGTTTAAAAACCTGTTGCCATGAGCCAAAAATACTGGATGTGAAAGCCAATGATTTAGGGGAGACAGGGGAAGAAGTGATTTGTTCCCCTGATCTGCGTCTTCGACGCCCAGTACCCACACCACTGGTGTAATGCAGCCAGGTACCAATACCCTCTGGGCTAGACACACTCAGGGGGCTCTCTTCCTGGAAGTGAGAAAGGGGGCAAAAAACAGCAAAGCATGCAAAGTTAGATTCAACAGAGCCAAATGAACAGAAAAGAAAAAAAACAAACAAAAAAACCCCAAACAAAAATCCAGTTTTTTTGCACTCTTTTACATACAACTAAGACTATTAAACAGTAATTAGGAGCAACTAACATGACAAAGTCTTCTTAAGAACATAATTAACTATGGGTTCTAACCCATTCATTTTGCCAAATTTCTGGCAGACAAATTTCTTCAATGCAAAATAAATCTTTTCTTCTAGCTTTAAAATGTATTGGAAATGGAACAAATTTGTTGTTCTATATATACTGTTTAATAGTTTATCTAAGTATATTAAACTTTCCTATTTGTTATTTAATAGATATTTTCCCTTGCAATTAACATGTACTACGTTAATTTTGAAATTTCAAAAGATTGTGGAATTACACTGGAGAGTCAATCACGATAGTGGTTGCAGCAAAGATGTCTCAACCTTAAAACACTTAGGAACTTCAGATGTTGAAAAGGTAAGAAATTTTAAGGGACAATGTCAGGCTAAAAATGCTAAATTTCTCGACTTGTGTTGATATCACCAGAAAGTAATACCAGTGAATATTTGATTTTCGCCATTTAAATTTTGTTTTTCTCATTTTACTTTCAGAGCAAAGGAAGCTGATACTAGTCAGCTTAAATTTCTGGTCATCATGTGCTTGTAAACACAGCTAAAGTACGTGTTGAATACTGTTAGGGAAATATCATTCAGATTAAAAAGCTTCATTAAAGATCCAATGTTTACTGGAAGTTATATAGATTAAATACATATATATTTAGAGAGAGAGAGAGAGAGAGAGGCTAAGCCTAAACAATCTGGCAGTGTCCCCTTAAACGAATGAACCATAGCAGACAGTGAAGTCCAAGGTTGTGTAGTTTAAGATGACATCATATTATAGCTGTTTAGCCTTAAAAACCACCATTCTTAAATCTTCCAAAGACTGGTTTGCAGATTTCAGTGTGCTGTATAAATCTGTGCACAAACAGATACATAAAAGTGGAAAGATCTAAAATTTCATAAGTGATAGTTATTTACATTAATCTTTTTTCTATAGGATGTAAAAAATTAATGTTTTCTTAAAATCTGGACGCTGGAACAAATTCTAATTAACTCTGTTACCTGTGGAAACTCAAAGTTTAGTAATTCATATAAAAATACCTTTTGAAATCAACTTCTGAAAATTTACCAAAAAATGAAAATGGTTAAGTTAATTAAATATTACAAAACTGAATGTGAACTCCTTTCCAGGAAAAGAGCTTGCACCATCAGAATGAAAACAATTTTTAGAATTGTTGAGATTCAAGCAATTTTGAACATTAAGGTACACTTTGAAAAAAAGAAAATGCGAATTCTCTAAATATTCAAAACTACTGTCTACCCTTTATTTTATTTATCTTATGTACCATTAGAAAACAAAACCACACATATTATTCCCATGTATTCAGCCAGAGTTGCTTGTAATTACATATTTAATCTACATAAGCAACCCATTTCAGAGACAGATATAAAAAGGCACATTGCATAGCCTTAGAAGTTTACTGTTTTTAAAAAACTGAGAATGAGGGAGTAATAAGGGGTTGTGTCATTTATCACAGATGTTCAATAAGCACCGATAAAGCTTTACTGTTCAACCGTGTAAGTAGTATCAGCAGTGTATTGTTGGTTTACCCACCTCATAGTGATGTTGAAGTAATTAGATATAGATGTCATGGCCTAGGTCAGTGTTTCTCAATCCATGGGTTGCGACCCAAAAGTGGGTCACAAAAATATACAAAAGAGTTGCAAATAAATTTTAAAAATGGATTAACAAACTTTAAAAATGGATTCTCCTTTAAAAAAGAAAAATGTGGGAAACCATGGCTCTTCCCCTGCAGGCTGGAAGAGTTCCAGCCTGCCAGGGGCTGCTTGGGGCCCCCCTTCCCCACATACCCACCTCCTGCCCCACATACTAAGGGAGGGCTGGGGGCAGGGGATCAGAAGTGAGGGGCACTGGGCCAGGACTAGCCATCCATGTTTACAAATGGGTCCTAGTACAAAAAAAAAAAAAAAGGTTGAGAACCACTGGCCTAGGTAACTGAAGACAATAAGGGTCTTGCAGTATTTAATCTAAAGACTGAGAAACACACAGTCCCACCTCCCCTCAAAGCATGCTGCCCATTTGTTCTCTTACCTTCAACTGCTGTGCCGCTGGGAGTCACTTGCTTTACATGAAAACAAATGCAGCTGAAAATATTATTCTTAGACCCCTGGCATAAGTCCAATACTCTGAGGATCGGACATGGGAAAGCCTGGGTCTGAGCTGGGACCAGGGCTGTCTGGTGCTAAATCCCAACACTCACCTAGGTGTTGAGGGTTAGCATGGGGCAGCTGTGGAGTCCACAATAAAGCCAGCCCCTGCCCAATTGGTGGGAGTAGGCTGGGGCAGCTCAAGGGCCTGAACTTGGGTATATACCTACAGCTGGGGATGGAAAAGTTTCTCACCTCCCACATACTACTTTAGAGAGAGCTGCACATACTACTTTAGAGAGGTACCTGACATAAGCAGTGTGGGATGGAAAAGCTCTCACCCCTGGCTGCTAGCACCAGGTAGCTCTTTAAAACACACAAGTGCAGCTGGGGGAGGGAGATCCTTCTCCATTTCTCACTGCACAGGTTAGACACCTCTTTAAAACAGCACACTGTTTAAAGAGGCATTGGGCATGTGCACCAGGGGATGGGGGAGGTCCTTTACTTCCAGCTGCACCACTGCAGGGGGACCATGAGCCTGACACTGGGGAGCCTCTTCCTAATGTTGGGTTTTTGGCATTCAGGAATGTAAAAAAAAGCAGACAGACGTTCAGCTGGGACGCGGAGCTGCAATCCTTCTTTTTAAAGGTCCAGGACACTATAAGCTTGACATAAAGGAAGGGCTGCCGATACTAGGCTCATGGCACTCCAGACCTCCAAAAAGCAGGCATGCAGCTGGGAGCCCCAGCTGCACACCCCTTTTTTACATTCCCAGTCACCTGCAGAATGGGACCTGGAGAATAAGGAGTTCCTAGCTTCCATGTTTGTGGGGGCAGGAAGGGGAAGAGGGCAACAGGGAAGTGTAGTCAGGGAGCAAGAAGCTTCCTGATCCCCAACCAGAGGTGCCCCTCTGTGCAGGCAGCTGTGCAGTTAGAGTCTGAAGAACCTTGTCTACCAGGAGCTTTAGCAGCTGTCACCTCTTGCACTGCCCAGTACTCATCAAGAACTAAAAATCTCAATATTTGTTATAAATTTCAAACAACATCTGGTAAGGATGCATATGCAAGCAAATGTATGTTAGTCAGCTTGGAGGAGGCATAATTTAGAGTGAAAATGTATCTTCATTTTCAAATAATGAGGGTTAATCAGTAAGATTTGAAATGCTAAAGGAAAAAAAGTAATATACGGCAAGAGAGTCTCACACAGGTTTTGAAATTCTTTTCAGACAACCATTGCCATGCAGGATTTCTCACAAAATAAAAAACAACCCTTTGGGAGGAACAACACCATCCTATTTTCGTGTTATTAAAAAAGAATAACTGTTTTTCCTTTTGGTTATGAGTTAATGAGGAGTTAACTTCCATATGAAGAAACATGATCTAGGATACAAACACTTACTTCAACAGAACCAATCTTCCTGGATCTTGGAAGGGGCGACTTTCTGTGTATGTGAATTGGGTCTGAAACCATGGGTTTGAACATAACTACTGAACGATCCATTTCATCCCTCCTGGAAGCATGCACCTCTTCATCACTATCATTTCTATGTGAGTTTTTCTTGGGGCCTTCATTCTACAAGGAAAGATTACTTGTTCGTGTTAGCAACAGACTTTGTGACATTCAGACACAAAAATCCATTAAGTAAAATGAGTAACACAAAAAGCTTAAGTTATTTTATACACATAAGATGTTAGTTGTATGCATGTAGCTTAAAGCTTTTAAACTATAAAAGTAGTACTTAACAGTCTTTTACACACCTACAAAAAGCATCTACTACTTCAACTACTTGCAACTTATCACAATGTGCACAATGATACCTACACCTGCACCCTTATTTTTTACATCATACTGTCTTTGTGCAGGTTCCTTGCTGGATGCAAATGTGAAGTTTTGGCCCCTAATTGAAATCAATGGTAAAACTCCTGCCAAATTAAGTGGGGCAGATCTAAGCCCAGAGTCTTAAACTTTGTAATGCTTAATTATTTAATTATACAGGCATCCCGGTACAACTGAAAATATCACTGTTTTACTCAAATTATTTTTTGTCATTTTGTGCAGTTGTCAAAACATCAGAAAAAGCGTGATTACCTGCTGATGCCATTTTCCCCTATGCAATTTTATTTTTGTTGAAGATTCTTAAAGTCATACAAAAATCATAAAAAGCTGAGATCATATATGCTGTAAAAAACATACTTTTAGGATGAGCAGATATAAGGTTACCAAATACAGTATCTGTTTGCAATTGAAGGATCAGAATTATGACATGTTTGCAATTTAGTTTACAGATTATTTAATAGCCCTGGGCACACAAAAGGATTTTTAAAGTTTAATTTGCAAGTGAAGGTGCATTTTTCTTAGGTTTTTTAGAAATCAGCAAGTCCATGAACTTAAATATATTTATTATTTTAATATAATTTTAAGTTAAATATTACCTCTCTGGAGGCAGGTCTATATCCATAACCAGCTGGTAAGTTTTTATCCTCTTCACAGCCTTTAGCTCCTGGACTGAAGTGCAGCTCAACATGAAAACGTTCCTCTGAAGACAGTTCCTAGAGAAAGTGAACAGTACATGTACTCTTTAATATATAGCCTGAATTAACCATCTCTGCAGATGGTTTTTTTTCAGTTCACTTAATTACCTTGTTTGGATCCTCGTATAACATGATAACAATCTGAGTCATGTAATTAAGTTCATTGACAACATTGAGATAATCCATAGCTCGCTTCCACTGATCATCTTTTGATTCCTTAAAAGTAAATGAAACATTTTATAACATGTATTTTAAAAAAATTAAAAGATACAAGCACAGGGCCTTAGGACCCAATCCCAGCATACAGGGGCCAGCTAAGGCTGTGTGGGGCACAATATGGCCAGCAGCCTAGTTCCATGCCATTCACCTGTCCCATAGGTTCCAAAGTTTGAGCACCGCTCATCTACACAATCAATTAGTCTGACAAAATCTAAGTTGGGGGCCTGTTTTATTTGTTTGGGGTTTTTTAAACCACATTTCCACTTACCTCCCTAATAACCTCCCCTTCAAAATTT